CATGCATGCATACATACATACATACATACATACATACATACATACATAGATATATATATATATATATAAGTAAAGTTGAATATAACGTATCAAGGGCCAATTTGAGCGGATTTAGACTTGGAACATATCCAAATAATTCAATTTGAGCTTACATGTTTCGATTCTAGCTGGATCGAGCTCAATTCAATTTTGAGTCAGCTCGGCTCAAAATTTAATATAACGAATCACATGCCGATTTCAAACCTCACTAAATTTATTTGAACGAACTCAGCTCAAAATCAAATCCTCAACAGCATTAGCTACAAGATCAGAGTTCTTGAAAAAGCCGCAGATTGGAAAGGGAAACAAACCTTAAAATGCCACAACCATGTCAGCCGGTGGTAAGTCTGCGGCATGTAAATTTGTTAACGTTATGATATTGAGTTGAGCTAGAGTCGGCTCAAAATTGGCTCGAAAAAAATTTGATTTAGAATTTTGCCTCATAGCTCGGCTCATTTATTTCGATCGATTCTTGATCAGACTCAAAATTCAAATCAATCTTCGAGCGATTAACAATCTTCGAGCTATTAACTAAATAAACAGCCCTAAAATCACTATAACTATTAAAGATCTAATTTCGTAGATTCAAAATTAACTCGAAAAAAATTCGATCCAAAATTTTCTCCATGGCTCATGTGAACTTGATCGGGGTTAAAATTTAAATCAAATTTTCACTTAATTCACAACCCTAGTGGTTGAACTCTCGCGCGCGATGAATCCATGGCTCATGTGAACTTGATCGGGGTTAAAATTCAAATCAAATTTTCACTTAATCCACAACCCTAGTGGTTGAACTCTCGCGCGCGATGAAGGTCTGACGCGGGGAGTTTGATTCGGTGTGCTCCGCGGCCTCCTGTTACGGCGAAGTGGTAGATTTTCTCTCTCTCTCTCTCCTTAATTTGGGCGTTTCCGTTAGCCGCGCTTCCACCGCTTTCTTCCTCCCCCACCCCTCAAATTTTTCCCCTTCCTCCCAAAAATTCTCCTTGTAAATAATGTTTCTGAGAACACCCATTCCTTCATATCAATCAACTTCATTGCTTCTTTGTTTTCTTTTGTCTTGTTTCTCGGGGGGTGATCGATAGGAGCGGAAGTTTTTGAGCTCTTAATTGTTGCTGAACCCTAGATTTTTAGACGAGGTATTTGTTTTGAAATATGGAGAAATCTGTGAAAGTTGGTTGCTTTGCTTGTATGAGCCTTCGCCACCGGGAGTCGAGGAGCCGTGTAGGCTTTAAAATTTCTAATGCGTCCTCGTCTCGCTCCTCCTTATCTCGTGTTGTTGATTGTTTGGGTATGTTGCTTATATTCTTGCTTATTTTTATTGCCCCAAAGATTGAACATTTATATGAATCGAATCTTCTGCTTGCAGAGAATGAGACAAATTCATTGTCTTCTAAAGGAGATAATTGCAACTGTACCCAAAGTTTTACCTTTAAGGAACTCGAGATGGTTACACAGAATTTCAAGGAGGCAAATTTTATAGGAGAAGGCGGTTTTGGGAGAGTTTTCAAGGGCCAACTTGAAAATGGCCAGGCAAATTTCCCATATTTTATGACTTGCTCCCTTGGTGATGTGGAATGTTGATTTTTGTTTTAAGTTACAATTTTGATGGATTATTATTTCTCCATTTTGGATTTTGATGATCAGGTAGTGGCAATCAAGCAACTTAATCGAGATGGACTACAAGGAAGTAATGAGTTTCTTGTGGAAGTTCTCATGTTGATGATGCTGCATCATCCTAATCTCGTTGGCTTAATTGGCTACTGCGCTGAAAAATCTGAGAGGCTCTTGGTTTATGAGTACATGCCGCATGGAAGCTTGGAAGATCATTTATTTTGTAAGAATTCATGTTGATTCTGCCTTCTTCCATGTAATTTTTCACTTATATCCGTTTAGCCTGCTGTGTTGGGTTGTTAATGTGCATATTTTTCTTCCATCATTTTGTAGTGATTTTTGTTTTCTTTCTCCTATTAGTTCTGTAGATGTAGACTTCATTTGAGTTGCATAACTTGATATGTTCCATGAAGTTCCGGTATGGTCACAGATTTGACATCGCATATCACGTTTGAAAGGAGGTACACATTGGCAACACAAGACATGATGTTGGGCCTATGCTTGACTCATGAAATAAACCTTGAAAGTCAATATCAAAATTGGATTTTTTTTATTTGAGATGAAAATCTTCATATATGAATTATTGTAAGCGACACATATTAGCACAAGCATAAGAAGGTAAACTTTTATTGCAACAATGTAGCCTTTTACAATTATTTAATAGGGAAACACCAACAACTAATTGGGAGAAAACTAAATAAATATATATGCAATGACTACCCAAAATTCAATGGAAATCTAAATACGGAACTAGAACTTAAAATCATGTACGAAATAACTCTTGCTAAAGATTTGCTTCTTTATTGATGCTCCACAAGTAACTTGATTAAATATATCAAAAAAAAAATTATAGCAAATGAAGTTGGCATTCAAATTCAATCAATAACTCTTAATTATCAAAGCATTAATGAAATCGTCATTCTTGAATTAAAGTTCATTGAAATCCTAAGTTTGAGATACTTTATCATCTTTGTCATAGGAAAATCCTTAGATTTTTAACATAGAAATTAGGGCAAATGACATTTTATTGCAAGAACATCAAAAAAACAAACTCAACTAAATATATGATAAGCACCTTAATTTGAGAGGTAGGCAATCTCTCCCAATTCCTATAATTCGAGAGATAGAAAATTCTTCAAATGTTTGTCTTGTGCGCATCTTTCGGTCACATCTGAATCTAATGTCATCTTGACTTCAAGTCAATCCGAGAGAATACCTCTTCCCCTAATTAAATCTTCCAATAGCTTATCGATCCCCAAAATATCTGTGAACTTTATATCACATGTCTCTTTCGTGAAATGTGACTCCATCAAGAATCTCCGCCCGCCCTGCATCCCGAACCGTCCTTATCATATCCTTTAGTGTCACCAACTTCTTGCACAAATTGGGATCACCACAAAGCACCACTATCTTGTCTCCCACCAAAACACTAACACTCTGCAGTGTCTCAATCAATCCCTTACAAATTTCCCTGCTCTTCTCTATTTGTCTTATTCCCAACATTTATTATGAATTGCCTTCCTCACGGAGGGCTTCCGCAACAAAAGACATTGGCGCAGTTGGATGCAGTCTTCCATTGGGGTCCTACCTACCATGTTTCCTAGTCCCAAGCTGAAATTTTTCAAAGAGATCTTCTCCCACAACAAACTGCATGCCATTCTGATTTGCCCACTGCCGCTCATCCCAAACCTAACGATGTCTTGTGATTCCCACCAGATGTTTTCACTTGAATCTGTTCTTGTTTTCTCCATTCGATATCATAGCTCTCAGTCCGCCTAAAGCAGTAACGTTGCCCTGATATCTCACGAACCTTCTGGTTGTTGTTGCTCGCATTCGTTCTCAACACCATCTCTCGATTCCATAGCGGGAGGAGGCTATTTTTTTGTGACTATCCGTGATCTTCTTAATAATTTGTTTTCAAGGCTTTGGATCTCCACTCCAACTGTCTTGCCATGGATAAGAAACACTCATCTATTTCAAATCTGACGTGTCTTATCTCTTTCTCTAGTTTTTTCCTCTAAAGCTTCCACTTTCTGGCCACCATAGTTTCCCGAAAAATTTTCAATCACAAAAGACGAAAATAATGTAAGATGAAATCTAGTCGTTGGCCTCACAGGAATCACGACTGCATATATTAGATGATTGTACTGCCCCAACCCCGTTTTTTACTTCTAGATTGGTGAAATTGAGCAACTG